AATATGTTAGATTTTTGACATCATGCAGCCCTACTGCTTGCTTTGACACTACTTGGTTCATAAACTGCATTTTTGAATTCTCACTTATGTCATCCCTAAGTTATCATGATTTTGTTTTGGTGTTGATTTTGTAAAAAATAAAAATTTTATCCTGAATCCAAGTCTCTTCACTCTCATCGTAAGTAATTAAGAACAACAATATTTAATTTATTCAATTTAGGTGCACTTCTACATTTGTAGTAAAAGCCAACTACACTATATGAATACATAATTTTGATTTGCCTTTATGCCAAAAAAATCACTTAAAAAAATGTTTAATATAAATAATATTTACTACAGTTTACTACTGTAAATCAATACATATGATTCATAATGTGCTTTACTAAGAAATTCATTTGAGCAACTTTAAAAGCAATTTTTTAAGTATTTCAATTTTCACCACTTGGACTGATTTTACTCCGCCTATCAATCTGGTATTAATTAGTGATATAAAAAATTGTGGATGCTACTTATCAACCATTTATAGCATATAAACAGCCACAAAACAACAGTAAAAAGCCTTATGTCAGCACTTGACCTCTACAGAAAGAGGGTTTGGGTTCTTTTGATTTAGGCTGTTAAAATCTATTTTGTTTTCAACTATTAAACTGCATTACCACAACCTAGCAACTACTTCAAAACCCTAGCAACAGTATGATAATGCATTTTACCCCGTCGATTTGCCACATCGTACATCTCCTCCCACATTTTTTGCCCTACACTGATGAGTGAGGTGTCAAATCGACCAGCCTGTTGAGGAGAGGTGTACTAAGATTTTTCTAAGAGGTTGGTGGTTCACTGCTTACTCTGCCTATCAAGTTGATATTAGGTAGTGACATAACAAATTTGTAGACACTCCCTAGCAACCACTTTAGGCCCCCTAACAACCATATAACAACATAAACAAGCCATATTTCAGCACAGGAATATCGTAGAAAGACAGGATTTGGCTTCTTTTGATGCAGGTTGATCAAATCTCTATTGTCTTCACCTATTACAAAGGCGTTGCCACACCCTAGCAACCATTTACATTACCCTAGCAACCACATAAACACATGCATTTAACCGTTTCTCCGCATTTACTGCTATTTTGCCCAGTTTAGTACCATTTTGTACCCCATCGATTTGCCACGCAAACCCCATTCACATTTCCTTTAGGAAATGTACAATTCTAGTTATTATTATTACTATTATTATTATTATTATTATTGGAGTTGAAGCACATTACAAATGCACATTCAACACAAAGCGCACTTCTTTTTCACAAGGCTGCACAGACACAAATAAATGGAGACACTTTGCTGCAGTGTGTGAAAGGATTATTCATGACATTTAAATTCACTTCTAGTTAACTTCTCTGGCTTATCCACTGCTGCTTACGTAAGTGTGATATTTTAAAAACAGTGAGTTAGTGAGCTCTGTGTGCATGTGTGTGTGCGAGTCTGAATCTGCTCTCACATCGTATCAGTAGGTTCCTCTCTCTGTATCCTCCATGACAGACTGCAATGCAGGACTGCTAACTGTGGCCCCCCTAGACTGCTGAACGCACCCACCCACATACAGTACATATACTGCAGAACAGAAGAGGATGAAGGCTTTGCTTTCCTCAGCATCTCCTCAGAGATCATACACACACTAAGTTTCCATAGAGATGACACTTTATGCATTTCTGTGATTTGCATATAAGAATAAAAGACAGAATTGCAGTTGATCTAAAATGTGTTTCTGTCTTCCAGTGCACCCAAAATGCTTTTACATCTTGTGTGTTTGCCTTCCTACGCTTTAAATCCTGCTGCAGCAAAATCAGCTATTATGAAACCACCACAGTGACTGTTGCTGAAATTCATTCATTCATTTTCTTTTCGGCTTAGTCCCTTTGTTAATCAGGGATCGCCACAGCGGAATGAACCGCCAACTTATCAAGCACATGTTTTACGCAGCGGATGCCCTTACAGCTGCCACCCATCACTGGGAAACACCCATACACTCTTACATTCACACACATACACTACAGACAATTTAGCTTACCCAGTTCACCAATGCCACATGTATTTGGACTGTTGGGGAAACCAGAGCACCTGGAGGAAAACAACGTGAACATGGGGAGAACATGCAAACTCCACACAGAAATGCTAACTGACCCAGCCGAGGCTCAAATCACTGATCTTGCTGTGAGGTGATCGTGCTACCCACTGCACCACTATGCTGCACTCACACACACACACACACACACACACACACACACACACACGCACACACACACACACACACACACACACACACACACACACACACACACACACACACACACATATATATATATATATATATAGTGTCAAAATAAACTTTTATTTTGGATGCAATTAAGTTACAAATAATCTTTGCACAGGACTTTTATTAATGCATTAATTTATGTTGAATTATTGTAGATGGGTCTGCTGTCTTAACTTGTGCATTACTGTGTAAATTCTAACTCAGATATATGACCTAATTGTGGATAATAGATAATTTAGGGGATCAGCTTTGCATTTCTTCCAGAATCTCCTGAGGTCTTTCTGCGCCCGGAGCAAGCCATCAGAATATGAACACAGAACTTCAAACGACAAAGGAAGAGAAAAGCTGAATTCTGAAGAGTTTAACGGCATCCCTTCAAGTGCAAATGCACAAGATCAAGTTGGTTTATATATAGCTGAAAATCCAAATGCAGAAATGAAGATTCAGATGAATGTGGTTGTGGTTTTTAAAAATTTAAAAAGGGAAATCAAGGATGGACATTTTTAGCAAGGGTTATTTATAGGTTTGTTTCTGACACCTACTGTAGCTCAATTATGTCATAATCCTGAAAAAAAATTATTTAATTTATTTATTTATTTAATAAATTATTTATTGATTGATTGAATCATTCTTTCTGTAGGCTATGAACTTATTCATTCAATCATTTTCTTCTTGGCTTAGTCCCTTTTTTATTCTGGAAGTCGCCACAGCGGAATGCACCACCAGCTATGAATTTATTTATTTATTTATGTTTTTATTTGTTCATTTATTTAATTATTCATTCATTCTTTCATGCATTAGTTTATCCAAAAAACATTCTCAAATCTTCTGCAGCGTGATAATAAAGCAAGGTTTCCTTGTGGTCAATAATGGTGATTCACTCATTTTCCATTTTTAGAATGGACCGCCAACTTATCCAGCAAATGTTTTACACAGCGGATGCCCTTCCAGCTGCAATCCAGTATTGGGAAACACCCATACACTCTGACATGCACATATACGCTAATCCCAATTTTATTTATTTATTCATATTCTTTTGGCTTATAGTCCCTCTATTAATCAGGTGTCACCACAGCGGAATGAATCGCCAACTTTTCCAGCATATCTTTTGCAATTCGCCTATACCGCATGTCTTTGGAATTTGGGGAAAACAGTATGCGAACACAGGGAAAAGATGCAGACTCCACACAGCAATAGTAACAGATCCAGCCGCGGCTCGAACCAGCGACCTTCTTGCTGTGAGGTGATCGACGAGTTACCATGATGCCCTATTATGGCCAATTTAGTTTATTAAATTCATCTATAACGCATGTATTTGGACTGTGGGGGAAACCCAGAGGAACACAGGGAGAACATGCCAACTCCACACACAAATGCCAACTGACACAGCCGGGGCTTTGTATTTCTCAGTAGGTATTTTATGAGCTCATCAGTGCTGATTGATGCTGGTTAGATTACAGTGTTGACTATAGAAAGGAAACACAAAGAGAAAGAAAAATATTAACAACGTAATTAACTGATGGGCGATGCAGTGGCGCATTGGGTAATGCTGTCGCCTCACAGCAAGAAGGTCGCTAGTTCGAGCCTCGGCAGGGTCAGTTGGCGTTTCTGTCTGGAGTTTGCATGTTCTCCGTGCATTCGCATAGGTTTCCTCCAGGTGCTCTAGTTTCCCCCACAGTCCAAAGACATGCGGTACAGGTGAATTGGGTAGGCTAAATTGTCCTTAGTGTATGAGTGTGGATGAGTGTGTATGGATGTTTCCCAAAGATGGGTTGCAGCTGGAAGGGCATCCACTGCGTAAAACATGTGCTGGATAAGTTGGTGGTTCATTCTGCTGTGGCAACCCTGGATTAATAAAGGGACTAAGCCGAAAAAAAAAGAATGAATGAATGAATGAATGATTAATTGAGGTTTATAAGGAACTACAGGGGGTTTGCGATTTGAATATATATTTTTGATATATATTTTTCATCAGAATGTCATGCAACCATCAGAGAACCCTCTGTTTATTCAGTATTAAATTAATATTAAGTTAACATATATTAAGTGGAAATATTTAAAGTCAAATGTATTCTGTACAAAATAAAATTGGCCAAACCCTCCATTATATGCACAAACATTAATACAAATCAGCATTACATTACACACTATTTTTGTTGGTTTATTTTTCATAGATTTTTTTAGTGTATAAATTCAAAGATATATATCAAATGCAAGCATGCAATGAATTAAAAGTTATTGTAATTTGTCTAAACTTTTTAACGTTTATTATCTATGTAATTACAACAGAAGTTTTGGATTCTGTAACCCACAGTACATATATATATAGAATATATATATATATATATATATATATATATATATATATATATATATATATATATATATATATATATATATATATATATATAAATTAACCAGTCCTACAAGTTGATTTTTGTCCACCTAGCCTACTACACAAGTTAAAAAAACTAGCAGTTAAACTATTTTTTTGATGTTTCATTGATTCATTCATCATTTAATCAATCGTTTTATTCAAGAAATGAATAAACAACAATAAAAGGTTGTGTGGCATGCATCATGACAACACGCCCGATATCAACGTTTGAATAAAAAGGTATGTTGAATGGATATTTGTTGCCTACGAAAAAAAATATAAGAAGGCATTAAATATTAGAAATGAACCCCCGTTATTAGAAAGTGTGACAACTTGCCCCGGCGATCAATCGCTCCGCGCCTGATGATTCCGTGACTTGCGCAGGAGGGCGGGAGCCTCGAGAGAGAATGAAGGAGCAGAAAACCAGCATCCTCAGCTAATAACACCGACCGAAATCAACACCCTGGCTTATAATTAAAATCATTCGCTTGTGAGGGAGTGAATGACATTGGCACATCAGGTAAGAGACCTGTTATCCATTCAGGAGAGCGCGCGAAAGCTCTGACAGACGTTCATTAGCACTGTGTAGAGATGTGTAGAGACGTGTCAATTAACTCAAACACAAAGCATCCGTCTTTCCAATTGATAATAGAATGCAGCATCTCTATCTTGTTTTTGCCTGTGTTAAAATTACGCTCGGACACTGAGGGTGCGTATTTCTAAAAATAGCCTTGTTGGCTCTGTCAGGTGACCTCGGCGTGTCAGTGTTAATCGCGCGTTTATCACTCATTTTCTGACTCATCATAACGTGCTGTAAAATACAAAGCGCGCGCGGATGGACACATTCAGCTGCTGTGAGAGAAAAAACGCATGCTTTGAAAGAAAAGCAGGTTTAAGAACAAAGATTGAACAGTTGCCATGCATTGTTGCATGAAAAAAATCTAAAGATTTTTCTTGCACGCACAACATTTACACTGAGGCAAGTTGTCACGCTGGTGCATGTTGAATTTCATTATAATGTATGCAGCATGAATAACTAATTCATTCATTTTCCTTAGGCTGATTCCCTTTATTCTTTAAGGGTTCCTACAGCGGAATGAACCGCCAACTTATCCAGCATATGTTTTACACAACGGATGTCCTTCCAGCCACAACCCAGTACTGGGAAACATCCATACACACTCATATCCACACACACACACACACACACTCATACACTACAGCCAATTTAGTTTATTTAATTCACCTAAAGCGCATGTCTTTGGACTGTGGGGGAAACCAGTGCACCCGGAGGGAACCTAATCCAACATGGGGAGAACATGCAAACTCCACACAGAAATGCCAACTGGCCTAGCTGGGACATGAACCAGCGACCTTCTTGCTGTGAGGTGACAGTGCTAACCACTGAGCCACCGTGTTCTATTAAATAGGAATTATGTTATTTTAAACGTTCTTAATATTAACCCCTTCATTCAGTCAGCCTCAAAGAGAAAAATCTGTTTGTAATATGCAACAATAATATAATAATTCTAATAAAACTATTTAAATTCTGACATATTTTCTTCCAGTCATGTATTCTGAGGAGTGGAGCAGGAATCGGCAGGGTAGAGAGAAGACTGTGATCACGAATTTCAGTTTTAGTCAGCTGCCAGAGGAGGAGAAGACGGGTAGGAGAAAACCTCACAGTGCTCATGGTGAGTTATAGGTGCACTTTAAAAGCACAATATTTAAGATTTTGTCATTAAAATAAAATAAAAAAAACACACCTGGAGACTGTTTTATATTTTGCTGACTTATGAACTTATATTAACCAGAAGTTTTGAAAAATGTTCAAAAAGCCAATCGCTAAAAAATAAGCAATTTTAATAGTGACATGGACTGTGATCTGTGTGTTCATGCTACGCCCTTGCACACTCTCGATTTCTGGTTTGGTTTTGATATGATAAAACTTGCATGTACTGTAGCTTTCATATAAACTGTTGATGTAAAATATTGCATAGAATAGTGCAAACCTATTTTTGTCCGCCAAAGTCATAAAATATTAACAATAATTCAACAAAACATACAGTATGTTCACAGTTCTGTGTTGTCACACATGACATAGGTGAAGAGAAGTATTATTTATTTAGTAGTATTAAATGTTTTAAATATTACATTTTAAGTGCTTTATTTAGATAGTAGTTATTACTTAAATGTATTTATGATTTAATAAATGATTAAATGAATGATTAATTAAATTAATTAAAATTAGCCATTTTTTAGGAGGTATTCATTTATGTTTTATGCTTTAATTTCAGACTCTGACGAATCCATTCCAGATGATCGATACCATAGCATCTACTTTGCCATGCTGCTGGCTGGTGTGGGCTTTCTACTGCCATACAACAGCTTTATCACTGATGTGGATTATCTCCATCGTAAATTCAAAGGTGCAACCAACCTGTGTCATGAAGTCATCACACAAAAAATTAAACGTACCTAGTGCTGTATAACAAACTATTGCATGTACAGTAAACAAAAAAAGTTGTGCTTATCAATTCCTCTTTTCTGTTCCTCTGTCAGGCACCTCTATTGTGTTCGACATGAGTTTGACGTACATACTGGTGGCTCTCAGCGCTGTCATCGTGAACAACGCGCTGGTGGAGAGACTGAGTTTACATACTCGCATCTGTGTGGGTGAGAACATGCAAAAGCTGTCAATGTAAGATCTAAGACAAGCTCAGGAGCTCCTCATGAGTTTTCAGTCATTGTTAAAAAAAATGCAACGCCATTAAAAAATTTGTTGCATTTACAGGATACCTGTTTGCGTTGGGACCTTTGGTGTGTGTGAGTGTATTTGACGTCTGGTTGGAGCTGTTCAACACTCAGCAGTCCTATGCTGTTACTCTGGCTGCGGTTGCCATTGTTGCATTTGGATGCACAGGTACTGTATATACATGCATATTGTTCATGCATTTTTCCTATATTGTGTTTTTGAGATCTAAAACTGGGCCTCGTCTTTTCACATTCCCCCATTTTTTATAGAATTTTCCATAAATTACAAAATTATTTTGTACTATTCTGACATATATAGAGAGAGAAGGAAAATAATCATGCATTTATTCATTTTCTTTTCGGCTTAGTCCCTTTATTAATCAGGGATCACCACAGCGGAATGAACCGCCAACTTATCCAGCATATGTTTTACACAGTGGATGCCCTTCCAGCTGCAACCCATCACTGGGAAACACCCATACACTTTCATTCACACACATACACTACAGCAAATTTAGTTTATTCGATTCACCTATAGTGCATGTCTTTGGACTGTTGGGGAAACCGGAGCACCCGGAGGAAACTCATGCCAACATGGGGAGAGAAAAAAAGTCTTCCTCCCATTGAAAGTTTATGGATGTCAGTAAGCTTCTATGCAGAGAACATATTTTGTTTTCATAAAAACTGAAATCATCCCATTCCTAATACACAGTGGTTCAAGTATTAAATCCATAGGAGCAGAAGAGGGGAGGCTTGGGAAATGAAAGTGATCCATAATATGGATAAAACTGCAACCTTGCAAATATCTGAAAATATGATTCAGGGCTACAAAAACTCATCTGAGAGCTGTTGAAAGGATGCAGAAACAACATCGATATATAAATCTTTAAACATGTACCTTGTCCTTTTGACCTTTACAGTGCAGCAGTCCAGTTTCTATGGTTACACAGGGATGCTGCCCAAGAGATACACGCAGGGTGTGATGACTGGAGAGAGTGAGCTGAAATTTCAACCATTACAATAGAATAAATGTGACATTTACTTCACATTACACCACCATTCTCTTTACTGTAATGCATTTTGGGTTTGTGCATTTAGACATATTGGTCTCAATGATATGTCAATTGAAATCATAAAAATAACTCAGTAATTTGTTAAAAGATACTGTAATAAAAGAATATTTATAGAGCAGTATTAATGCATTATTATCATTGAGTACATAATTAAATATGCAAATGAAATATCTAAATATTAATAATATAGTATGCATAATCATGTTATAATTATTATATATTATAATATTAGGGCATATTGGTCTCAATAAATATTCCCAGTGATTATAAAAGTAACTCAGTAATTTGTTAAAATATACTATAATAAAACAATATTTATAGTGCATTATTAATTCATTATTATTATTATTGAGTTGTGTACATAATTAAATATGCAAATTAAGTATTTAAATTTGAATAATACATTTTATACTTGATTAAACATGATTCATATTTAAAAAATGACTTTTGCATATTAAATACATAATTAAATATGCAAAAGTAATTATTTATATTAGAATAATACATTTTATACTTAAGCATATGTTAAAATTATATGTTATAATATTTAGATGAATTGGTCTTTATAAATATCAGTAATAATAAAAGTAACTCGGTAATTTGTTAAAAAACTTTATTAAAACATTATTTATAGTGCATTATTAATACATTATTATTACTGAATATAATTTAATATGAAGACAATTAAATATGCAAATTAAGTATTTAAATATGAATAATTAATTTTTATACATAAAATGTTAAAATTATATATTATAATATTTAGATATACTGGTCTCAATAAATATTATCAGTAATTATAAAATTAACTCAGTAATTTATTAAAAAAATTACTGTAATAAAACAATATACTGCATTATTAAAACTGAATACATAATTAAATATGCAAATTAAGGATTTAAATATGGATAATGTATGTCACAAGTAATCATATGTTAAAATTATTATATATTATAATCGTTAAATATATATTTTTACATTACAATATTGAAATAGTTCGACCTTTGTGCATTATGGTTATATGAATTGGTGGGAGAAATCTGCTTGTATGTGCATGAGATAACAGCACAATACAAAAATTCTGAATATGTTTTTCTTGTATATGAATGAAATTCTTAATCATAGCACATGCTGTTTTTGTCAAATATGCTTGTTTCAGGCACTGCAGGAGTTATTGTTTCTCTGAGCCGGATTTTTACAAAGCTGCTGGTGGAGGATGAGAAGAACAACACTATTATCTTCTTCCTGTTCTCCGTCTCAATGGAGACGCTCTGTTTTCTGCTTCATGTGGTGGTTCGCCGAACACACTTTGTCCGTTATCACACCAGCAGAGCTCGCCAGAGCCACAGCTGGCTCAAAGGACAGATTAATAACGTTACGACACAAAAGCACAGCGGCTATCAGATACATTACGACAGCAGTGCAGAGGAAGAGGTACATGCACACACAGGAACACTTGTTTTGTTTTGAAAGGTTTTTTTGGGTCACTGACCAATTTTTTTTTAATTTAAAGCAAGTTAATTTTTCTTTAGCTTAGTCCCTTATTTATCAGGGGTCGCCACAGCGGAATGAACCACCAACTATTCCGTCATGTTTTTTCATGTAAGCTACAAAAACACAAACTTGTGACTTCATCCACTTGTAAGTAAGTTAGTAAAGGTTTATTTATATAGCACCTTTTCCAGACATTGAGTCACACATTGTATATTGAGTAACACATTGAACATTGAGTCAGACATTGTATATTCAGTATACTGTATACATAATCATGTGTACTGTATATGGACAGGCATATCGAGTTTGTTTTAAAAAGTAACATCCTCATGTACAACATTCTTAATACATTGGACAAAATTTTGGATATTTTTAGGTTAGATTTTGTGTGAATGTGAGAGTGTGTGGGTGTTTCCCAGTACTGGGTTGCAGCTGAAAGGCATCTGCTGGCTAAAGCATATGCCGGAATCGTTGTCGGTTCATTCCACTGATAAATAAGGAAATAATCTAAAGGAAAATAAAAAAACGTTTAGGATGATTTGCTCAAAAGATTGCACTACTCTGACTCACGACTGTTCCACAAATTAGGATGGAATGGCGTCAAGCATGGTTGACGATGCTGATGCGGTTAATCTGGGTAACGGTTCCCATGGAGATGGCATATACGTCAGATTCGATGTGCCTAAACCAGAAGCCAAAAGGAGCTGGATCAGTGTGAAGGGTGAGCTATGATTTTATCACTATCACTGGCCGTTAAAGCTGGAGTACGTAACCTTTGTTAGGTTAATATAAATATATAAGTGATAAAGATGGTTAATTTGCTTTTTCTGTGAAATAAACAATTTCCTTATTTATTATTTACTATTTCAAACAGAGATGGTGAAAAAGAGACTAAACGTGTATATTGTAGCTTAAAGAAACTGAAGTTTGAACATGATGTATGATGTTTTCTTATAGAGCTGCTGGGTCGGAGGTGTGCTGTAGCCCGGGTGATCTGGCCATATATGCTTTCAATCTTGGTGACATATTTCATCACTCTGTGTCTGTTCCCTGGTTTGGAGTCAGAGTTGCACAACGATACACTGGGAGAATGGCTGCCTATCCTCACCATGGCTCTGTTCAACATGGCTGACTTTGTGGGCAAGGTAAAATGAATCTTTTTTTGTAGTCATATATGTTAGGAATGATTGATGATGGGGCAGCACGGTCGCTCACCTCACAGCAAGAAGTAGTATAGTATCTATTGTAATCAATGTAAAATGGTAACAGTTCAAATCTCTTTGCTTTACTCTTTAGATCTTGGCGGCGTGCCCATACGAGTGGGGTGGTGTGCAGCTGCTGGTGTGTTCGTGTTTGCGCGTTCTCTTCTTGCCCCTGTTTGTGATGTGTGTGTCGCCTGTGCAGCGCCCCCTGCTGGCACACCCTGCCTGGCCCTGCGGCCTGTCTGTGATGCTAGGTATCAGTAACGGATATCTTGGCTCTGTACCAATGATACAGGCAGCTGGCAAAGTGCCACTTCAGCAGCGAGAGGTGGCAGGTGAGTATGGCACACACATGAAGTGGGATGTGTAGACATTTCTGATAAGGAGCTAAAGTACAGATCTGCATTAGTTTTAAATGCATTATTAAATTTGCATTAGTTTAGTTAACATTGAAATTTGTCAGAGATTATCTCTAGAATGGGTTTAATTTAGATGCACTCTTTTGTTTGATGATTGTGTTATAAAGTCAATTTAGTGAACGTTTTCTTCGCTTTGTTTCACCTGTTTTGAGTTCAGCAAACTGCTGTTTAATCATTGTAAATAAAGTGATCATCCTGACTCAAATGTAAACACATTGACTTGGCAAAAGAAAAGCTGCAGGTTAGATTTAAGGAAATCTTGAAGCATCTATGACTTGATCTTTATTACATGATTATTATGTTCTTTCTTTTTTTTTACTATTTTAACCTTAAATGATGCAATGTGGAACTTTTTAGTAAAAAAAATAACCACGTTGGAAGATGCTTCCCTTGCAGAAATATTCCAGGATAAAAGTGCAAATATCTATTTATTGGCCGAATATTTATTGTCGTCTTTCAGGTTGTATCTCAGCTTTAATGCACTTTTTAAATAAATTAATAAATAAAAAACAAAGGACAGCCGATCGCTTTCACTCCAAAATGGCAGAATCTGGGGCTGTTGCTGGGCGCTGCTGTTGCAGTTGCAATGGAACGTACCAAATGCTGATGTTTTCTCACAGTATAGTAGTTATACACTTGGGAAATTGTAAATAGTTAAAAAAAAAAACAATATAGGTGACACAGTGGTGCAGTAGGTAATGCTGTCGCCTCACAGCAAGGTGGCTGGTTCGAGCCCCGCATTGGGTCAGTTGGCATTTCTGTGTGGAGTATGCATGTTCTCTTGTGTTCAGGTGGGTTTCCCCAAGTCCAAAGACATGCGCTATAGATGAATTGGATAAACTAAATAGGCTATAGTGTGTGTGTGAAAATGAGTGTGTATGGGTGTTTGCCAGTAGGACCCCATTTAAGATCATTTAACTGAAGCCCCCTGTGAAGTCCATGATCTGCGCATGTCTCGGCTGTGTTTTTAAAAATGGCCGGTTCCTTTATTTTCATTTTCCTGCTTCTGTGAGCGACGTATCTCTGTAATCCCATAGCGTTCAGCTACGCCTCTTGGTCATTCTAAGCTCTTTGCTTCCAGGGAAACTGAGCTCTCGTTTGTGCGTGTTGACGTCGTGTCCGTAAATTAACGCGCCACAAAATGGTGTATCGTGTCAAACGTTGTAATGTCGTTAGTGACATTTTTTACGTTTCAAATTATCAAATTAATCCACAATCGCAAGTTTTGTGCAGTTATGTTGCCAGTAATTGTGCAGTTTTGTTCTTCAAACGCTAGAGGGCAGTTACAGTTAGGGTAATTTTGATCCAAAACATTCCTTGACACAACGTTTTTGGTCTAAAATTGTTGTAGTCAATGATGACTGTCAGCAGATTGTAATATTTAGAAATTTAAGAAAGTGTTACTCCATCCAGTGGACATCCATCAAAAAATCCTCGCCATCAGCATGACATAAAAAAAACAGTTTGTCCTTTCACTCTGAAATTAAAATCTGAAAAAGCTCTACAGTTAATTTCTCAGATTATGTGATTTTGAGGTACTGGGCGTGGCTGACATACTTAACCACGCCCCTCCAACTGTCAGTTTAATCAACAAACAGAAATGGTGAGGAGGAGAATGGTGAGAAATGCCTACTTTACAACATCCAATCACCTTACAGTAGAAAAAACAAGCCACGCCCACTGTTTTCTCATTTAGTAATCCGTTTCTCTAGGACCTGTGTCAAAATACAAAAGTCTACAGTCATAGCTTCTGGTTCATGTGGACTTTAAGCATTTGATATATTGAGCCCTCCTGTTGACATTATGTTTTCTTATTAATTGATCTTACAGGAAACACCATGACTGTGTCGTACATGGCTGGACTGATGCTAGGGTCTGCAGTGTCTTACTCAACATACAGTCTGACCTCACAGGCACACTCCTCTCACACCACGCTGAAACTCAACAGCACACTCACGTTGCACAACTATATGCCTGGCCACTGAGGAGAATCCAGCACACATGAACATTGGTTTGTACAGGTGATGATTATGTAGGACTAAAAAAAAACATTTCCGAAGGCTATCCTGCTGGAAACACTAGCTTAAACCTGAAAATGCATTCTGGTCCAAGCTGGTTTATATAAGGAAGGTCTTCTGGTTAAGCATATTGAAATTATTGGGAATATTGTTCGATAATCTGATGTATTATTGTTCCAGTTATCTTTAAATGTTCGGCCACCTTGTGTTATTTACAGTGAGGTGGTGTAAAGCTGTACTTTTTGAATGATTGATAGTCTTGTCTTGTTTTAGGCGCTCCATTTTGATCTGTTTCATTAATAACCAATTAGCCTCATTATTGGCAGACTGATGTAAAAACTAAAATATGTTTGATTGTTTTTTTGTTTGAGTTAATTTAAACATTTTAAACTTAAACCTTGTCCAGCTATGGGGGAAAAATACTTAATTCTGTTTGAATGTTTTTGTTTGTTTACATGTCTTTACGCCGTGTTAAGCTTACTTTTTTGGTTGATGTGCACCAAAATTAATATTCAAACGAACTGCATCAGCAGAACCGTCACACTTTTGTTTTATTCAAACCCAACATGCCAAGTGTGATCGCACCAGATAAGATGCCACATATCTCACAAATATTGACCAATCCCTTACAAAAAAATTACTGCAGTTTTTAAAGAAATACTGCAGTCATAGTTAACTTCTGTAAAGTGCAGTTTTTTTGGACACACAAAAAAAAAATGCATTATTCAAGTATATTGCAATATTACTACAATACAACTGAATTACTACACAACTAACTGCAGTACATCTACTGCAATACAACTGAAGTACTACTACAGTACAACTGAATTACAACTACTGCAATGGTACTGAAGTGATACTACCACGACTACTAAAATGCAGTACAACTACTGCAATGTCACTAAAGTGAAACTACTACTATAATGCAGTACTGTTACTGCAATACAGCTGATACTACTACAGTACAACTGCAGTACAACTACCACTTTTCCTGCTTGGTTTCCAAATGAAGTTTCAGCACTTAAGTTGTAATGCTGAAGTTTTACCACAAAATATTGTATTGCACTTTTCAGAACTACAGAAATGCATGTACTGCAATACCTAACAAAACTAAAGTGCTCTTTTAATACTTATATACCTAAGTGCATTAAATTATATAACTTATATCACTATATTGCCCCACTTAGTTTATTTATTGTTACTTCAGTTGTACTGCAGTTGTACTGCTGTTGAATTTTATTGTATTATAGTTGAACTGTGTTTATACCTCATTATACTGCAATGTTGCAATTGCGTTGAAGTTTGCCAGTTATTCTTGCATATAGGCTACTGCTGTTGTACTGTTCAGTTCACTGCAGTTATTTTTTAATATTCGTTTTTGCACATAAACTCTTAAAATTCGAAATTAGAAAATGACTTGAACCAAAAAAACATCCCTGAAAAAAATAAACATTCGTGAAAAATGTTGAAGAAAAAACCCCTTGGAACACAAGTGCAGTACAGTTCTTACCACATTATTGGGATATTAGACTACAGCAGCACAAGTGCAGTAAATACAGAGTTTACTTGTTTTTTACTGCAGTTTAGTGCAACTTATACTGCTGTTTAACTTTATTGTACTGTATTAGAACTGTGTTTATACTTCATTGTATTGTAGTTTTGCAATTGTGCTTAATTTTACTGCAGTTATACTTCTATATACTGCTTTTGTACTTCAGTTTACTGCAGTTATTTTTTTGTAAGGGATAAAGCAAATATCGTTGCAGTCTGGGATGTTGTAGCACTTCCGTTAAGGATGAAACATGAAGCACTTTGTCACTTGTCTCATCATTCATTAATTTTTTCATGTTATCGTCAATAAATTCATGAAATTATGGAAATAAGATGGGTCTTATCATTTTAAGAACGTGAGCTTGGTTTTGTTAAACTTTACAGATCAGCAATTGCAGTAATATGTCCATGACCACGTTTAAGAGATCTGATTTCAGTCCAGGAAAATACAGTACAATCATTACAATGAAATATTCACAAGAGTCATTGCAATAAATTAAACTCAATGGTTTGGAGCATAAATGATTTTTTATTAGAGGTTAATAGTTCTACAGTTGAGATCATCAGCACATTCATTATCATTGTCACATAATTATCATTGCCATTGATTATGAAATACAACATAACATCACCCTAAAAATATTTCCAGTCTTTAAACAAAATGATGATAAAACATAAACAATTAAATGCTGGTTTACTGTTTTCCCAGATCTGTTTCTTAATCAGCCATAAAACTCATGAACTCAAGAACTGCAACATTACAAGTGTTAAAAAATGTAAGGTTTTATCAGTTTAATTACAGTACAGTAATATTAGAAAATATGATGAGCTTCATGAAATCCTACTTAAAGATTTCATGAAATGTTTACAGTTTAATCACTCATATAAGCAAAGAACTGCCTTATTATTGGCCCATTCTGAAACAATGTAAAGGCTGTTCCATACAACTGCTCCAAATCTGTCTCTAACTCAGCCACAGTCATTATTGGAGTAATATATCCATTATTGTCATTGATTCCAATGGCTCCCCCAGAGTGTGCAGACCTATTATTTTGGTCTAAGCAACAGTATGCAGTCCAGAAATGACTAGGCACATTCACTCTGTTGTTGATTGTTTGGTTATTACCTGGTACCACCCCTGTCACAATGTGAACATTGTATTCTGCACAGGTTATGCTCAGATCATTTGCAATTCTTTTTTCTAGTTACCTCCATTCAACTCGGTTGAAAGAGTGGTTTTGTGGAGCAGCATTGGTGGGAGTGAAGGTGGCGTCTGCACACTCCTGAGAGTTTGCATGGTAAACTGGAGCCAGATGACCTCTGTCAAAGCCAGATCTATAATAGTCTTTATTGAGAGCTTGATTTTCTCCAAGTTCCCCTATATCCACAAATGTTTCAAATTCCATGTTTTCTTCTGCATTATTATCATCATCAAGCTGCAATATTATTAAAAAAGATACACTTGAGAATGCTGGATATAAAACAAATGTACTGTACATTACAGGCAGATTCATCTTTATGTTCAGCATGAACATCCTGTTAGATGAGACTATAAACAAGAATTAGTAATTCCTCATTTCTGTAATCTTTTGTAACATACTTCTCTTATCCTAGCTCACTATCTACCATTCCAGTCTTTTTTAGCATTAATGATATAAAGTTTAAAGTAATGGAGTTTTGAACAATAATACACTTACCTGAGGTTTAATGTACCAGCTGTTTTTTCTTGTGCAGTCCATTAGCCCTTCAAACACATAGGCCGAGTACACAGGGATCTTGTTGTGAGTGTCATAAAATGTGGCTAAATGAACAGCATCATCTAGAGCAGTGGTTCTCAAACTTTTTTCATCAAGTACCACCTCAGAAAAAAATTGTCTCTCCAAGTACCACCAAAATAAGCAGTATTGAAGTACAGTAGTGTAGAAGGCCCAGTAAAGCAGCTACACCTCTGCACAGTTAGAAAAACGTGGCAGATTACCTTAAAAATATAGCCTATATGTCATATATGGCATATTATATACATCATTTTTGATAAATTTTGAAATGTGTGTCGCATGTACGACATATTTCATTCCTCTGCGTACCACTAGAAGGCAGCCTGTGTACCACTAGTGGTACACGTACCACAGTTTGAGAACCACTGATCTAGAGTTTGGCAGATCTGCTTGTAGTGATCTCCATCAAATCTTGTTGGAGATTTTCCATAAGCAAAAAATTTACCACAGCTCTTCTCAAATTTCTGCACAACTCTGATCCAGCAGAGAGAAGCGACAGCATCAGTAGATGAAGAAGAAGATTCATGATGGAGACGAGGAGATGATGATTTATCAGTCTGCAAGAACAAGATGAGATGATCTCCTAATTTTAACAGCATGTAAAATGAAAATAAATAAACACCTACCTCAGATTTAAATCAGTGAAGAATAAAGGTTGAGCTGATATCAATGAAGAGAAAACAATGTGAGAATGTGAATTAATTCAAAATATAAGACACTAAATAAAAAATAATCAAACATAAAACAGTCAGTCACCTCTTCAATAGCAGTTCACACCAACGCTGAAGTCAAGAAAACACTGATGATTCAGTGAGATGGACGAGTATTTATCCTCTGTCTTGTCATTTACACATTCAAGTAAATGTCCTAAGCAGAAGGACACAAACTTGATCCACCACATTTTTCCCTACAGTTACAGTACATTTTTCAACTTCCTAAAGTCCACTTAACAGGAATGTGTTCATTTAAAAGACAAATAAAGAGTATACATGACATTGGATGCTTGTTGTTTGCAGGATATAGAATATAGTGACCCTGCCTGTATTTAAATGTACTTGACATGGTCTTTTTAATGCTTTAACTTGTTGATAATTAATTTATTCATTGTCTTGGAACAGTTGACATTGTGATCATCTGCACATGCAAATGTTGTCTGCTTGAATGAGGAAACTTCATTTTTTTCAAGGTGTTATTCAAGTTTAGGTTTCAATGACAATTCAGAGTAAAAGTTACTCTGAATTCCCCTTCTCCTCTCTCTGCTCCCCATGCTTTCCTGTCAATACTCTCTACTGTCCTATACAATATAGGTGAAACCCCATAAAACTTTAACAAATATAAATAAATTTTCATAAATAACACTATTTTTTTTTTTTAGAAGTACTAGAAAAAACTGACATGCATTAAACCTTCGACCATGCTGTTAGTTTCATCATTGGGCTAATAGATGGACTTCTACAACAACTAATTTTGCTTAAATTCAGCTTATATAAATTGTTTGCAACAACGAGCCATTTTTTGAGTGTACCATGAGCAACAAAAATGGCAACTTATACTAAAAATAAGCAAACATTCGCATTGGTTTTTGCAAGTATATAATCTGTGCAGTCGACACTGTCTGATGCTGTCAGATGTCATAATTCTGCGTGTGAAATATTATTATTAATGAGATGTAAATATGTTTTCTTGAAGAATGCAGTGCAGGTTTTGCCTCAATAAAGATCTTTATTAGAGCTTAAAAGATTTTACAGTAAAATCAGTATTGTTTTCATTATAATATCACAGGGTAATCATCATCATTCTTGATTAAGTACATGATACACTTCATTACAGATACATTTGCATCCCTTTTAAATAAAACAGCTTAAATGTTCTATAATTCAATTATAGTGATTACAGTTTTGATCAAATTGTACTAATCTGCATTAAAAGACACAATTTCACATAGGTTTGCCATGTTTAATCACTCAGTGAGGATTTATTAGAAACAAACGGTGTCTGGTTTTGTTATCGTTAGCCTACTGAAACAATGTAATAGCCTTTCCATAAAACTGTTGTAACTTATTCTGTAAACCAGCCACACTCAATGGCATAATATTGCCATTATTGTCATTGGTTCCAATGGCTCCCTCAGAGAACTGACACACATTCTTGTTTAAGCAGCAGAAAGCGGTCCAGAAATAACTAGGTACATTCACTCTGTTATTCACTGGTTGTCCATTACCTGGTACCACCCCTGTCACAACATAAACACGACAGCCTTTTTTTGTGCATGTCTTGAACAGATCATTGGCAATTTGTCCCTCTAGTGCCTTCCATGTACCTCGGTTAAAATTGGGCTCTTGTGGAGCAGCATTGGTGAGAGTGAAGGTGGCGTCAGCACAGCTCTGAGAGTTTGCATGGTAAACTGGAGCCAGATGACCTCTGTCATAGCCAGATTTATCATAGTCTTTATCGAGAGCTTGATGAACTCCTCGATAATTTTCTTTCACGGTGCTCGAAAATGCCATGTTTGCTCCTCCATTATTATCATCAAGCTGGAATATTAATAACAGGATACTAGGTAAGAATGAAGAAATTTACAGGCAACATTTAGTTTAATGGCGAAGCAGTGGCGCAGTAGGTAGTGCTGTTGCCTCACAGAAAGAAGGTCGCTGGTGTCGAACCTCGGCTCAGTTGGCGTTTCTGTGTGGAGTTTGCATGTTCTCTCTGCGTTCGCGTGGGTTTCCTCCGTGTGCTCCGGTTTCCCCCACAGTCGAAAGACATGAGGTACAGGTGAATTGGGTAGGCTAAATTGTCCATGGTGTATTTGTGCGTGTGTATGTTTCCCAGAGATGGGTTGTGGCTGGAAGGGCATCTGCTGAGTAAAAACGTGCTGGATAAGTTGGCGGTTCATTCCGCTGTGGCGACCCCGGATTAATAAAGGGACTAAACTAACAAGTAAATGAATGAATGAATTTAGTTTAATCTTTTCCAGCAGCACGAGACATTTATTTAAATACACATGTGATAGAGCCACAAACTTTAACTTTAAATCATTTATTTACAGTTATTCTGTTTATGTTACAGTTATTAATCTGTTATTTCTTCTGCTGTTTATCATGTGGTTCTAGAAATTAAGCAGTTTCTCTCTTTTTAAAATTTTATTAAGTCCTAAGTGTTAATATAACAGCGGTAACCTCTAACAGATGTCTTTATTAGTTTCTGTAATTAATGATCCAATATTTTCATTTATCCTTTATGCACATCACTATGCCCTTCCAGCCATAACCCAGTACTGGGAGACTCCCATACACACTCATTCACAATTACACTTATATGGGCAATTTAGTTCATTCAATTCACTTTGGACTGTGGAGGAAACCAGAGCACCTGGAGGAGAACATGCAAACTCCACACAGAAATGCCAACTATCCCAGCTGTGACTCGAACCAGTGACTTCCTTGCTGTGAGGCAACAGTGCTAACCCATGGATATATACATTAGATGTCACCTACCCTGTTGTTGTCTATTAGAAGGAATGCGTCAATAGAGCCGCCATTTTAGAACAGGGTAGCGCTCCTTTGAAATGAATGCGGGACCAAGGTGCAGTGGAGGACTGAGGCCATCCAGAGCCAGAGAATTACACATATACACATATATCTATGATCGAGAGTTTTCCCGGAGGTCAGTATGCTGATTTTTTTTTAAATTACGAAACTTATAATTTTGCGTCACTTTTCTACATTGATGGATCAGTGACCGCACAGGCATTCCTGACAAAAAGCTTGTGTTTGTGACAAAAGTTCATAACATACAAAAACGTAAAAAAACTAAACCGTACCTATGTAATGTTCTGCCTTTGTGCTTTGTTTTCTTTGTTTGCTCGTTACTATACCTGTAGACAGCACTAAAGTCCTGCATCTTCACGTAGGCCTAGTAACACTGTCTTGACTAGTGTAGTTGAATGACACTTGTCCTGGGAGCACTGTACAAATATGGCGGCGCTATTGACCCATGCTTATTGTGCTTATAAGTGTTATTACATTATATCAGTTCAGTATAGTTAATACTACAGTATGCGGTAACAAAATGTTATAAATACAGCATATTCTAGTGTGCTTCACTGTAGTGTGGTGTATTTATTAAAACTTACTGAAGTATTTTTCATGTTGTTGAGTGTGAAACCTTTAGGAGAATTAAGTTTGAGTGATATTTCACTTACCTGAGGTTCAATGTACCAGCTGTTTAGTCTTGTGCAGCCCATTAGCCCTTCAAACACATAGGCCGAGTACACAGGGATCTTGTTGTAAGTGTCATAAAGTGTGGCGAAATGAACAGCATTATCTAGAGTTTGGCAGATCTGCCTGTACTGCGCTCCAGTAAATCCTTTTGGAGATTTTCCTTTTGCAAAAAATTGACCACAGCTCTTCTCAAAATCCTGCACAACTCTGGCTGATCCAGCAGAGAGAAGCGACAGCATCAGCAGATGAAGAAGAAGATTCATAATGGAGATGAGGAGGTGTTGATTTATCAGTATATCTGCAACAAGATTTTTTTTTGTAAAAACTTGAATAGTTTACAAAGTAAACAGAAATGAACACCTACCTAAGATCTATCGCAGTGGAGAGTAAAGGTTGAGCTGTTATCAATGAAAAACATGAAAGAATGCTTTAACATGATACAAAACACATTAATAAACTATAAAACACTCAATAAACAATAAAGAATCAACTATAACTCTGTTAAAGGCAGCTCTACAAATACAGCAGTACACACCAATGCTGAAGTCAAGAAAACACTGGTGATTCAGTGAGACAGACGAGTATTTATCCTCCGGTTCTTGTCTCTCAACGCATGAACACACAAGGAAATGTGTGATAAGGAGAAGGAGTTAAACATGATCCATATTCTCCCTTCAGTTACAGTACATTTGTTAACTTCCTGAAGTCCTCTTAACATGAATGTGGTCCTTTATATAATATACATAACACTGGATGCTTGTTACAAGATATTAGGATTAGTTCACCCTATAAAATGTAATTGACTTGGTCTTTTATGCTTTAAATTATTTATGATTTTTCCCCCTTGGGTCAGTTGACTTT